TTTCAATAAAACCGGCTTCTATAAATTCGAACTAATTTCGTAGTGTAGACATACCCTAAGTTGAAAAAAAAGGGCTTCGTCGTGTGGACGTGTCCAGGCTTAATTCAATTTAGCGCTGCTAAATTCGACCTAAACTCGTAGTGTAGACCAGGCCTGGGTTATACAGGCAGTTGATGACTGGGATGGACCCTCCTGTCCCAGCACTGTGCACCCGTCTTTGGGTGGCTGCAGAACCGAGTCCCTGCGCCAACACGACTCCCCCTGTACTGGCTGGGGGTGCCTGTGTGTCTGTGTTTTCTGGTCCATAGCCCATGTAAAACGAGACAGACGGATCCGCCTCTGACTCCGGGCCTGCGGCGTTTCAGGCGGAGGCGATTTCCCCAGCGGTGGCCGCCAGGTGGCTCTGCCGCTTGCTCGGGCGGGCCGGGCGCTTGCTCCGCGCTCTTGGTCCCTCCGCTCAGCGGGCTGGGGCGGAGCTTCCCGGGTCAGCCGCTGAGCTGCCTCCATTAGCTGTGACCCGAAACTCTGCCCCGAACCGCTGCTGCTCCCCAGCCGGGAGAGCCCTTCCCTAGCTCCTGGGGCAGCTCCGGGCTCTGCCGACACCAGCCCCTGAGCCGCAGCCTGCAGGTGAGGGGACAGACCCGGGGGAAAGGGCTGGGGCCGGGCAGGAAAGTGACTCTGCACCGTCGGCCCCTCCTCGCCCCAGCTCTGCTCCCGGGCGGGGGTCTGCGAGTCCCAGAGCTGCTGCCCTCCCCCTCCGGCTCTGCTCCCCTGAGCGCCTGCAGGAGCCGAGCCAGCTCCGGGAGAGAGAACGCTCCAGGCCGGGCCAGGGACCGAGTCTCCCAGCCCGAGGGGAGGGGGCAGGAGGGAGACAGAGGCAGAGACTGGCAGGAGCAGTAAGTAGGGAGGGAGGTTCCCGGCTCGCATCCCTGCCCAGCCCCATTCCCTGCAGCCCCCCGGCGCAGATTGATTTTCCTGGGACAAGGTGAGGAGCAGGAAGAGGAAGAGCTAGTTCCTGTCTCTGCCTAGTCCCCGCGCTGCTGGGGAGGAGGGGTGCTGCCCTAGCTGGGGACAGTGTCAGGAGGATCATCCAAAGCAGCTCTTTCGATTCTTTTCCAGTGTTTGTTTCAGAGATTGTGCCTGTGGAGCCAGGTTACAAATGTGTCAGTGGTTTGAGTCTGGGTGAGAGGGGCCAGATCTGCACTTGAATGAATTCTAACATGAATTATCAACAGATACTTGCATTGTGGTGCAGCTTTTGCCCTTCCCTCTCTGAGGTACCTTCCTTCCCACCCACCCCCCGCCCCAAGGAATGACTCTTTTTTTGTCTCAGCAGGTGAGCGCAAGCAGGAAACATCTTCGTTCACATGTGCTGGTAAAAAAGCAACTCATGACAAGATGCCTCCCAAGCGATCCAAAGGAAATGTTTCACAGGGACTGAACCAGAAAAAGTCCCTCAAGAATCAGAGGAAATTGGACAAGCTACAGAAGAGCTCTCTTGTGCAGAGAGAGGGTAAATCAGCCATCCGCGGGAGAGCTGTGAGGAAGAGCAAAGACACGATCATCTGCCAGAGAACATACGCAGGGGAGAAGCCCAACATCTGCATTGAGTGTGGGAAAAGCTTCACCCAGAGCTCAGACCTTATGAACCATCAGAGAACCCACACGGGGGAGAAACCCTATAAATGCATTGACTGCGGGAAGAGCTTCAGCGTCAGCTCAAACCTGAGTCGACACCAGAGAACCCACACGGAGGAGAAGCCCTATCCCTGCACTGACTGTGGGAAAAGCTTCACAGACAAGTCCACCCTGACCCAACACCAACGCGTCCACACGGGTGAGAAGCCCTATAAATGCATTGACTGTGGGAAGAGCTTCAGCCGCAGCTCCCACCACAAGAGGCATCTGAAGAGCCCTCCAGAGAAGAGGCTGGACAAATGCACCCACTGGGAAAGTGCCACTATTGGGAAGGTGAAAGAAACTAAAGTGTCTAAGAAGAAAACCCCGACCATTGAGATCCCTAACACATGCGCCGAGTGCTGGCAAAGCTTCAGCCAGAACTCGGACCTGGTCAAACACATGAGGATCCACACAGGAGAGAAACCCTACGAGTGTCCCGATTGCGGAAAAAGATTCAATGTCAGTTCAAACCTGATCAGACACCAGAGGATCCACACAGGAGAGAAACCCTACACATGCTCTGACTGCGGGAAAAGCTTCACTGACAAATCCACTCTGACCCAGCACCACCGGATCCACACAGGAGAGAAACCCTATATATGCACTTACTGCGGGAAAAGCTTCAGCCGTAGCTCCCACCACAAGAGACATGAGCGAACCCACACCGGGGAAAACCCCGTGTCCTTTCTGCCCTTGTGGCCCTACCCCACCCAGACATACTGAAATTATCCCATTGGTTCTCAGGAATTAAGTGGGAGATTTTTCCCAAGCTCCAGCGTGATTCAGTAGCACAATCCCCATCAGCTTCCAATAAGACATATGGTCCACTGTGCTTGTGTCACTTCTGGGCATGAGACCTAGGTTCCTAAATCAGTTAGGTGTTGCAGTGCCGCGTAGAGTTAAGTCTTGACAACTGTAAGAATTTGGGTCTGAAATCCCACCCAGAGTGAAGGGAGCTCTGTGAGGGGTTTCATTAGAGCATTAGGGAGTAAACTACCCAAATTCCATTAGTATTATTTGTATTGTGCTAACGCCTAGCAGCCCCAGTCATGGACAAGGAACCACAGTGCGAGGCACTGTACAAACACAGAACAGAGAGATGGTCTCTGCCCCACAGAATCAACAGGATCTGGGTGCCTAACTCACTTAGACCCCATGAACATCCAGAGTTTCATAGAGTTGAGGGCTGGAGAGGACAATTAGATCATCTAGTCTGACCTCCTGTATATCACAGGCCATGAATCTCACTCAAATACTGCTATATCAAGCCTAATTACTTTAGTTAAACTAAAACCTTTCAATGCTTAAGAGGCTAATCTGTTGTGAGCCAGAGTAGAGAACAGGAGAGACCAAGGGGCCCCTGCCTTGGCTGGGAATTGATTAGATGAGAGATGCTGGGATGATTCCCAGCAGGAGATTCACACCCCATGCTGTGGAAGAATGCAAAAAACGCCAAGATCTCTGCACCTGGGGGGAAATTCTTACCCAACCCCAAATCTGGTGATCAATCTGACCCTGGGCAAGTGAGCAAAACCTACCAGCCAGGCATCTAGAAAGACAATTCTCTGAACCACTTCAGAGCACTGGTTTACCTCATCCTGGGTCTTGTTGCCAATCTCTGATGCTTCAGGGAAAGGTGAAAAAGAAACCCAGATACATCTGGCCAATGGTGCATTGGAAAAAACATTCCTGTCCTCTGCAGGGGAGCGTCTGAAGCCCTGAAGCATGAGATTTGGTTATTGTCATTACATAGTACAGCCAGTGTGCAGGGCAGGGGTGGGATAAAAAGCCTGTTCTTTGGGGCACATCTTTCAGCTGGGAGCTACTTCTGAGAAGAATATATTTGATTTTACATGATCGTTGGCCTGTATGGATGAGTTGAGGTGGACAGTGGAGCCCTGTTCCCAGCTGGGCTGGTGTGTACAACACGATTGGATACCCCAGAACTGGCACTCGCTGGTCCCCTTGCACAGTGTCAGCAGGGAAGGCAAGCACTCAAGAAGCCCAGCAGATCTGAACTCCCCTGAACCCCAGGGAAGCCCTGTAGACTTCAGCTGGAGCTACGAAATCAGGGTTCAGTCTGGGTTTAGCCTGCACTTCCGCTACCTGTGGTGAGGATATGAAGGGGCTGTTGAGCCCAGCTCCTCTCCCCAGCACTGATCCCCATCTCTCGTGCAGTTGGTCAGTTCTAACACACATCCAGCGGATCCCCCTGTGTTGATGCATTCAGAAAAGGGGGTTTCTCACTCCAGCTTTCCTGTGTAAATAGCCCCTTCCCCCCAGTTAACTTTGCTGGCTCTCTGCGCTGGCACCTTCAGCCAGTCTGTGACACATCACCCCAAACTCCAGTTTGTCTTGCCGTCGGAGCTGAACTGCTAAGACGCTGGAGCCAGGGGACTGGGGATTCCCCCTTTCTCCAACTGGGAGCAAACTGCTTTGAGGCAGGTTATATTCCCTTCAGTCCACCCCACCCACCAGCCTTCGTTACGCTGCTCCCCGTATCACACCCAGCCCATTAAATTGACATCTCTGCCCCAGAACGGGAAGCTAGGTGCTGCCGTGGTTCTGCTCCCCTGGCTCCGACTCCCTGGGCATCAGTCTCCAGAGTTTGTTCCTCCCCCTCCCCTGGAGCTTGGGTCAGTTGAGGGGACTTACCGCTGCACCAGCAGAGTCCAAGATCCCAGGGTGTATGTGTGAGGCTGCTCAAAGCTGGAGCGGCTGCTCCCAGGGAGGCTGGGCACATGGACTCTCACAGCTGTGGCAGAGCCTCTCTCTGTTGTATATACTACATGTGTAGTTGCCTAGTATGTTAAATGCATTATGCTTTATAGAGAACACATTCTATTAAAAAAGCCTCAGGCGCCTTGGAAAATCCCAGCCGGAGATTCTGGACCATTGTGAGAACAATGAACAGGAATCACTCAAGGATGAGATGCTATGTAAAATATCCCCTGTTGTAATTTTCAGCACTAGCTTGTAGGGAGAGTGGGATGGTAGCAGAGAGTTGCCAGGGCACAGGGATAACACCTGTTCAGAACCCTGACTTGTCTGCTCACCTGCTCAGCCCGAATGCTCCCTTCATCTAGGTCAGGGGTTGGCAACCTTTCAGAAGTGGTGTGCTGAGTCTTCATTTATTCACTGTAATTTAAGGTTTCGCATGCCATTAATACATTTTAACATTTTTAGGTCTCTTTCTATAAGTCTATAATATATACCTAAACTATTGTTGTATGTAAAGTAAATAAGGTTTTGAAAATGTTTAAGAAGCTTAATTTAAAATTAAATTAAAATGCAGAGCCCCCCCGGACCGGTGACCAGGACCCAGGCAGTGTGAGTGCCATTGAAAATCAGCTTGCGTGCCACCTTTGGCACACGTGTCATGGGTTGCCTATCCCTGATCTAGGTATTTTTTATTTTGCATAGATGCCACTGATGCTATTTTAGTGACTGCTGACGCTCTGATTTTTCCTGCTCTGCTGATGATCTGTTTGTGTCTGTTGCAGGTGCTAACATTTGCCTTTTTAAAAATATAATTAAATGGGAAACTGACTCTCTTATGTGCTGTTTCCTGCCCCCTTACCCACCCCGCCCCCCACAGTTGGTCCCTAAAGCCAAACCCCAGGCCCTAGAATGTTAATTTCCTTAGAAAATACAGAGGGAGCAGTTGGGCCTTTCCATGTCTAGTGGCCTAGCCAGCTGAAGCTTCAGTCACACTTTACCGTCACATGGGAATTTTCATTTGGCTTTTCCTTGCGTTGAGGCTGCAGGTTGAGAGGGGGACAGCTGACATGGGATTCAGCTTGTCCAAGAGAAGGTTCATTGATTCATAGAGCTTGCGGCCAGAAGGGACCATTAGCTCATTTATTCTGACCTGTCTAAACAGGCCATTAAATATCAGCCCTTTAGGACCCAGTATTTTCTCCCCATGAAGGTGCTTAAATACCATAAACAAGTCACCTCTCAATCTTCGTGAGCTAAACAAATTGAGCTCTTTAAGTCTGTCATTATAAGGCATTTTCTCTTGCTGTCCAGTGATTTTTGTATCTCTTTTCTGCACCCTCTCCAATTTTTCAGCATTCCTTTTAAAATGTGGACATCAGAAGTAGATGCAGTATTCCAGTGTCGGTCTGAGGGGTAAAATTAACTCCCGACTCGCTACTTCCCTGTTTATACACCCAAGGATCACATTGCACAGGGAGCTCATGTTAGTTGCTTGTCTGCTATAACCCCTAAACACTTTCCAGAGTCACTGCTTTCCCAGATAGAGTCCCCTATTCTGTAGGTCTGGGTTACATCCCTTGTTCCTAGCTTTATAACTGCACTGGGCTGCATTAAAACACACTGTGTTTGAATGGGTCCTGTTTAACAAGTGATCCAGATCACTCTGCATGACTGCCCTTGTCCTCATTATCTACCACTCTGTCAGCTACATCCTGTATTAGAAGTGATTTTATATTTACTACCAGATCATTTATGAAAATGTTGAATAGTTTTGGGCCTAGATCCCCTCCCTATTGAACCCCTAGAAAACCCCCCATTTGATGGTCATTCCCCATTGACTACTTTTTGCGGTCTGGGGGGGACTGGTCAGGGAATGGGGGCCTTTCCCATCCAGGGCCTCAATTTCAAGCCAGTTGCTCTGGTTGACTTAGGGGGACAGGGGACAGAAACATTGAGGCCTTAGAGTACTAGTTTCAGTCAGTGCAAAAATCATCTTGCAGGTAGCAGATACTTGGCTGCTCCAGAAAAGCAGCTCTGCTACCATAGTGATAAGTGGGGCACAGGAATGTATACAGACTAGATCAGACCCCCTAGGACCTGCCCTATAAGTGGGATTAGAACCCAGAGCAGGTACAGGATTTAAAATAAACCAGGAAATGAGCGACTCCTCTTCAAAAGAATGAAATACCCCCAAGTAAACATGAGGATGAGCTGCCAGGACAAGGGCCGCTGAACTGCACCTCTCAGCCCCTGAGAGATTGCTGCTTCTCTCCTCCTCCTGGGTTTTCATCTTAGTTAGTCAGCTGACAGTTCCCCTGGGGTTGGGGCCTGGTGCTTTCCTGGCACCTAGCCAGGCTCCTTCACAGCTTTGGGGGCAGGGCAGAGCACAGCTGCACTCCCGTCAATTCATAACTGGCATGTTGTCCCTTAAGGACCATAGTTGATGTGTATTAGAACAATCCGTAGGCTGCTCTAGCATATGCAGATGCAGTTTATGAAGCAAGGAGCCATAACAAGCTCTCTGACAGCCACATCACCTTCCTCTGGCTCTCCAGTGTTGAATTGGAGCTGGAGAAAATCTGGCTCTGAATATGTAGTTGGGACCTTGGAGTAGGATTGTCCAGCAGGTAGAGCTCTCGATTGGCCCTTCAGAGGCTTGGGTTCCATTTAATAAAGAACATAGGGCAGATTCTCATTTCGCAAAGTCAGTATGTTGTTTTTAACTTAGATCATGGTAGCACACAGCAACCTGAAACAATATCAGAGTCCCACAGTGCGTGGACGTGGTGACAGATGCCATGTTGCACAACTCTCACAATTTTATTGTGAGTCTTGGATATTTGGTAATTTCTTAAATCCCTAGCTTATGGAGTCATGTGAACATGGGAGACTCTCAGCTTTCTTTTAAAAACATGTCTGGCCCCATGGATGTAGCAAAAAGCTTGAAAACATGACTAAGTGTGCCAGAAAGGTTCAAAACCAGAAGGCCAAGAAAGATAGTCTAAAATACTGCTGCTGATTTTTTTTAAGTAATATTTTAAACCATTATCCTGATTTTGGGACATCTGATTCATGATTTTTAATGCTTTAATCGAAGGAGGGGGTGGGGAAACTGAGGCACAGTACAGTGATGTGACTTGCCTGAGGTCACACGCCAGGCCACTGGTTGAGCCAGGAAGAGACCCCACCGCCCTAGGTCCATGCCTCAGCCACTAGCTCCTTTTGCCTTACTGGAGTGTGTTGCTCTTCTGCCAATTTATACCAGCTGAGGCTCTGGCTTCCTGCACTTAAGTACACTCAAAACTATAAACCAATACACAAGCTCTAGCTTTTTCCTGTCCTGCCTCCCGGTGTCCACACGCCTCAGCATGTAAACTAGTCGCTGCAACTC